AGTTTGCCTCCCTCCCCTAAATCATCCTTACTAATCAATGTATAGGACTATTTCTTAAGGATCAGTATTTCAAAACTATTCCATTTCACTATCAACAACATAAAATTGTAGTTTCCTTTACAGGTTTCCTCTTGCCAATTTATTCTTTAGTGAATAACGTGGAAATGGGATGAACTACTAAGATTATATAAGGCATTAATGCAAAGCAAAAATGTTGCCTAAAGCATGTTTTATATAACTGCAAATAAAAATGCTAAAAACAAAACAAAACAAAAAACAAAAACACCTACTGAATCTTGTATTTTAACCTCCTCCACCTAAAGCAAGAATCCACATAATCATTCTGAGCTTCCAAGTGGACTAACGGGCTGGCCTTAAAGTGGGTTTCACCATCTTTCCTACCAGTGAAATGGCCTTCTGGGTAAGGGGCTCGCACATGACATGACCTTGGAAGGAAGGGGATGGGCAGGAGGGAAAACTATCAGATGACTGACTTCACATTCAAATTCTTTATAGAGGGCCTGAAACTGGTGCGCTTTCCACTGCAGGCAACACACAAAGTTTACTTTCTTTCCTAACTTTAATGCTGCCAGAATACACATGTACTTTTACTTTCTTAGGAGAAAATGTGTCATTTGATTTCCTTCCAGTTTATGTACTCGTGCCAACAACCAAAATGCTTAAAGAACCAAAATGAATTAGTACCCAGAAACGAGGGTCAAAGTTTCAAAATTTGATCAATAAAATTGCTCATCTACTCACAAATTAATCTTCAGCCAGTAAAATGACAAATTTTCGAGGTTATGAGTATACCTGAACTGTTAGGCATTTATTTCATTTGCTTAAGCAATCTTCAGAAATATATAAATATTTATAAAAGAGAGCCTAGGCTGGGCGTGGTGGTTCATGCCTATAATCCTAGCACTTTGGGAGGCCAAGGCAGACAGATCACCTGAGGTCAGAAGTTCAAGACCAGTGTGGTCAACATGGCAAAACTCTGTCTCTACTAAAAATACGAAAATTAGCCGGGCATGGTGGTACATGCCTGTTGTCCCAGCTACTCTGGAGGCTAAGGCAGGAGGATCACTTGAACCTGGGAGGCAGAAGCTGTAGTGAGCCAATATCGCGCCACTACACTCCAGCCTGGGTGAAACAGTGAGACTCCGTCTCAAAAAAAACAAACCATCAAACAAACAAAAAGCCTACTATTTTTACTCAGCTGTAATTTTCTTTTTGCAGCAAAACCTTGTTAATTTGTTTCACAACTCATAAACGTCCTGAAGGCAGGATCTGTCTCTTCAATAGTTCTGTATCCCATGAACACCAGCACAACGCCCAGCTTGCTTGGGAAATGTTCAACCAACTTGCATTCAATCAATTCAGATCATTCTGATTCTGAATTTATGATGGGGCCAATTTTCAATTTTCATTTGTGTCATTCATAAAAAAAAAAATTTGCAAAGCAAATGAACAGAATAAGTAAAAAGATAATTTTGGTTACTAAGTAGAATATTTCTCAAAAACTTCAGAAGCAATATCTATACCTGATTAATGCCTTCATTAATAAACCACATCACCCAAGAATGTGACCTGCTCAGATTTGGTTCAGTATGTGGATCTGCAAAGAGTGTCATTTCTCTCTTATTTACTCTCATCTCCTGAAATTAGAACAAATTGGTGATGTTTGACTACATTTTATGATCTCTATCGAGTAACCACTTATAGCCTCCTCTAACTTTCCATTTTCTTTTGTTTGTATCATCAGCCTGTGAAACCAGAGAGCGCTGCCAAACACAAAGCAGGGAAGTGTGAGATATGCTTAAAATATGAGTCACAGTATATTTGGGGATTTGGGTTTCTTTTTTTTTCCCCCTCAAGCGATCAGCAGATCAAATCCTTCTTCCCTGTCAAGCCTTCTTCTATGCAGAAGATCTGAAATTTGCTAAAATCGGTCTCCCAGTGTAGTTATGAAGGGTGAGAAGATCAGAGATGAGCACTGTTAAGATTTGCTGTAGGATTTCCCTTTCATTTCAGAGCCACTCCGGCGGAGATGCCTCAGCGAGGATGCAGTATGGCAAGATATATTTAAATATGAAGGTTATTCCTTCTGTGAATCACCAAGTCTATATGCGTATTTTTATAATGAGGTAATATACCATGTGGCCTAGGATAGTAATTTCTCCTCTCTGTTTGTGGAAGGCCAGCTAACCTAATAAAGCTTACTAAATGTGCATGACCTATCAGGCAGCTGAGGGGTCCTTCAGCAATTGTCTGTGATACACACACACACCAGTCCGTCAACCGTTCAGATTTTTTTCCCCCTGGCCAACTTTTAAAGCTGGTCTAAATTCTCTGCTTGTCGACTCCTCTACTTGGGGGGTAGGGAAAAACTCAAGACATCTTCTTTAGCAAAACCAGCATTCAAGCTTACCCCTTCTCCCCCCACTTTTTATACAGACTGAAGTGCTCAGCAGAATGTGTGAGGTTGGTTTTGACACTGTCCTTGCCAAGAAAAACGAAGCCCTCTATATCATACTCTTCTGCATGGTGGCTAAAAACCCTGTAACAGGCAAGAAGAAAAAGAGCCCTCAAAAGGAAATCCCCTGAAACTTTACTTCTTATATTTAGCCCTCAAGGAACTTCATTCAACTTGGAAAAGAAGTTACCTTAAAATGCCATATGTTTTTAAAAAGCAAGTATGAGGGAAAATAATTCTACCATAAAAAAACCACAAACGATATTCAATACTGAAGAGCAGTGTGATCAGACAGATTGTGTATGTGTGTATTTTTTTTATTATCTCTAACCAAAGCTCTACTATGTGTAAGATTTTTCCCCCTAATAATATATTTTCATTTTCCCAACGCACTTCAGGTCTGATGAATTCAAGAGGACTCAGGGTATTTTTAAGGCTGTGAGAGCTCCATGAGGGAGGCAAAAAGAATGGACCATCATTTGAATCACTGAGTGACAGGCTGGGCTAGCTCCCTGTATACATTAATAAATTAGAATTTTAATTGTGTCTCTGTCCACAGGAGATGCCCCAGTACTTTAATATGTACCAACAATTGGCTATGTTATGGAATCTGCAATGTGGCCTCCGCCACTGACCTCTGAAACACAATTCCCAGTCTGACTACGGAAACTGTTCAGTTTGATCCTTTCAACTTATTTGAATCCTGACAAATAAGCTCACAGCTGAAAGGTCAACATAGTCATATTTCATCCTCCAGAGCTGTTCTTAAGACATCTGCACAACAAAGCACTTCTTATAGCACCTGACATGGGCCCTCAATGTCACTGTACCTCATTAAAAATGTCCCCTGCATACACATGTATTCCAAGACACATGGTCCGATGATGGTTTACCAAATAAGTGTTTACAGAAGAGGCAGTAAACAAGGCACACTGTCAACTTTTCCAGTCAAGTGTCACTATAGTGCTGAAATCTCTCTGGAAAGTGACAATCTCCCAAGTACATATAGAAGAACCAGAACTTGTTGGTCAAGATCAGTTTGATCTTTGCAGATAATTTGGGAACAGGTTGCGGTTCACCCTGACCTCTGAAAAGTCAACACAAGCTAGAATTTAGGTTGACCTCATTATCCAATTAATTGGCACCAAGTTATACACCTATCAGCCACGGCTTACAGATTCTGTCCCCTCCTGTGATAGGGGTGCCCATCTTCAGCTATGAATATAGTCTGAACCACTTAGGACCAGGGTGCCAAGTGCCCCCTCTGAAATGTGAGCATGAAGGCCCTGATTCAAGTTTCTTAGAAATTTCTATCACAATTTTCTACTTTGAGTCAAAAATCCAAATTAGATTATTTATTTATTTATTTATTTATTTATTTATTTATTTGAGATGGCGTTTTGCTCTTGTTGCCCAGGCTGGAGTGCAGTGGTGCGATCTTGACTGGCTGGAGTGCAGTGGTGCGATCTTGACTCACTGTAACCTCTACTTCCTGGGTTCAACTGATTCTCCTGCCTCAGCCTCCTGAGTTACTGGGACTACAGGCACCTGCCACCACACCTGGCTAGTTTCTGTACTTTTGGTAGAGATGGGGTTTCATCATGTTGGCCAGGCTGGCTCCTGACCTCAAGTGATCCGCCTACCTCAACCTCCCAAAGTGCTGGGATTACAGGCGTGAGCCACCGTGCGCAGTCCAAGTTAGATTTTTATAAATTTACTGCTTCTTCCACTCCATTAAACCCTTGCCTTCAATGTGCCTGAAATCAGAAGTTGCTAGAACAACCTTTTTTGTCATCTTTACATAAAAATTTCTTCCCATTTAAAAATTATTGACTTAGAAACATTCTGAACATATCCACTGAAGAATAGGGTATATCTTATAATCATTACAAGCTATAATATTAAAAGTAACACATCCTCCTCAGGCCTAGTCATAACTCTTGATTCTACTGACATTCCGGGATGAATCACGGTGTGTTGCATCCTATGCACTGCAGGACGTTTGGCAACATCCCTGGCGTGTACCTACTGGATGCCAGCAACACCTCTGCCCTGCTAGTTGTGGCAAACAAAAATGTCTCCAATGTTGCCCATTGTTCCGGGGCTGGCAGGAGGTGGGGTGCACAAAATCTTCCCTATCCAGGATAACTTCACTAAAGCAAGGTGTGTGTCTGTGTGTGTTTATCCCGTTTTTAGACCCAACATGAGAGAATGTGGTGACAATTCTGAGCACCATGAACTTTTCTCATTGGTAACCGACACTGCCTGTTAGCAACTCAACACTTACAAGTCCTCATCCTTCTATTACATTCACTCATCAGGAGATCTTACTCCTGGACAATGAAACTTTTGGGCAAATACATGTTTTCCTCAAAATGTTCTACTTTGCTGGTAAACCAAAAATACACTTTCCACAGAAGATTTTCTTACATGATTTGCAATTCTCAACACAATCCACTCCTGAACTGCTTATCAGTTATCCCAAAGGGTATAATGACAATTTAAAAAGAAAAAGAATTGTTACCTGAAGAGCTGGTTGTTTGTCATTCCTCTTGGGAGATTTTAATCCACTAACTTGCTGCTGCTGTTGCTGCTGAAGAAGGAGCTGTCTTGCCACCTGAAGTGCCTGGAAAGAAAAACAGAAGAAAATCCTTTGCATTACTACACAGGTTCAGGGGACTCTTCATAAAAAAAGGATTCCAGGAAGTGCACTTTGGGGCTGGGTCCTGACTTTCCTATTTCCTGGCAAATGAAACAGCAAACAAAACTTCCCACCAGTCTTAGTTGGAAAACTTTCCAGAATTTGTTTGCATTTCCTTTGACTGGGCCAATTTCATCCACAGTTCTACAGGCATCTAAGCAGACATTTTATTCCTACTAAAAATCTGACATGAAATTTAAGACCATGAGTGATTGGGACTCTGCAGAAGGATGACAGAGAGACCAGGAGGGAACCAGGCAAAGAAGAAAACTTGGAAGACACTACAGGACCCCTTTCAGGGCCATCTGCATCTTCCCCCAATTCTTGGGGAAATGTGGGGACTCAAGTTGAAAGTAATACTTTCACCCCATGTAAGTTCAAATAAAGACAAAGAACTAAGTGGTGGACCACAGGAATAATACACACTATGGGTTGGGCTATCTAGGAAGGAAGATGAAACAGATGGGACATACCTAGGAAGACCTTGACACTGACCTAGAATTTGAGAGGAAAATTTGGTAAATCTGACCTCTAGTCATCTTAAAAAGCTGTCTTAAGATGAACACAAGTCATCTTGAAAAGGGTTATCTAGGAAAGAATATGAAACAGATGAGACATAAGGATGACCCTGACCTTTACCTAGAATTTGGAGAGGAAAATATGGCAAATCTGGCTTTTAGTCACCTTAAATAGGAATATTATGTATCTCTGAACAAAACTGGGTATGTTTATTACAAATGACCCTTTCAAGTTTACAATATGGGATGGTTTTTCCCTAAAGGTAGACATTGGAGATAAAGCAAGAAGAAAACAGAAGACTTTGCCAGGCGTGGTGGCTCAAGCCTGTAATCCCAGCACTTTGGGAGGCCAAGGCGGGTGGATCACGAGGTCGAGAGATCGAGACCGTCCTGGTCAACATGGTGAAACCCCGTCTCTACTAAAAATACAAAAAATTAGCTGGGCATGGTGGCACGTGCCTGTAATCTCAGCCACTCAGGAGGCTGAGGCAGGAGAATTGCCTGAACCCAGGAGGCGGAGGTTGCGGTGAGCCGAGATCACGCCATTGCACTCCAGCCTGGGTAACAAGAGTGAAACTCCGTCTCAAAAAAAAAAAAAAAAAAAAAAGATTTGTCAGTCATATGTTAAACATTTTGGAGAAGTCTTCTGTTTTCTTGTTTTTTTTTTTTTTTTTTGAGACGGAGTTTCGCTCTTGTTACCCAGGCTGGAGTGCCATGACACGATCTCGGCTCACCGCAACCTCCGCCTCCTGGGTTCAGGCAATTCTCCTGCCTCAGCCTCCTGAGTGGCTGGGATTACAGGCACGTGCCACCATGCCCAGCTAATTTTTTGTATTTTTAGTAGAGACGGGGTTTCACCATGTTGACCAGGACGGTCTCGATCTCTCGACCTCGTGATCCACCCGCCTCGGCCTCCCAAAGTGCTGGGATTACAGGCTTGAGCCACCGCGCCCAGCCCTGACACATCTTTTTACAAGTTCAAGTAGGCTGGGTACAGTGGCTCATGCCTGTAATCCCAGCACTTTGGGAGGCTGAGGTGGGTAGATTACTTGAAGGAGTTCTAGATCAGTCTGACCAACATGATGAAATCCCTTCTCTATTAAAAAGACAAAAAATTAGCTGGGCATGGTAGCATGAGCCTGTAGTCCCAGCTACTTGGGAAGCTGAGGCAGGGGAATCACTTGAACTGGGGAGGCGGAGGTTGCAGTGAACTGAGATCGCACCACTGCACTCCAGCCTGGTAAAAGAGCAAGATTCCGTGTGTGTGTGTGTGTGTGTGTGTGTGTGTGTGTGTACACGTACATATACATATATATATAAATTAGCTGGGCATGGTGGCAGATGCCTGTAATCCTAGCTACTCCAGAGTTTGAGGCAGGAGAATCGCTTGAACCTGGGAGGTGGAGGTTGCGGGTAGTCGAGATCACACCACTGCACTTCAGCCTGGGTAACAGAGTAAGCTCCCATCTCAAAAAATAAAATAAAATAAAAGTTCATGTAAAAAGTAAAAACCAACGTCATCAATAAACCTCTCAGGAAGACATTTACTGCCAAGGAATTGAGAACAGGAATAATGGCTAGCCACACACCTTTCCAAAGATAGCAGAAGTATCAGCAACAGAACACTGAAGTTTGCAGATATTGTGCTGGAAAGTCATATGAAAAGTTGGGTTACTTGAGAACCAAGAAAGTACACATGGCAGAGATGTCCAGAATACTCATTAAATGATGTGCTTCGAGTTTGGAGACAAAATGAGCCTTCTTGAGTGTTACATTCATAATAATTTCTATATGGTAACCAAATTATTTATGCATCAAAGAAGAGGCACACACAGATATAAGTCAATGCATCAAAAGGACCTGAGGCTATAGTCTTAGAAACTTAGCATAATGGACTTATGATGGTAGCGTGTTCCTTAAAAAGGAACAGGTGTTTCATTTATATAAGAAAATAACATGTATATTTACAAGAAAAGTTACAGGGGCAATGGTGGAATGGAAGAGAGGTAAGAGCACCTTGGTGTCCCTGTGGATTGAACTCGGAAGAAAGAGAAAACAGAGTTGGTCAAGTGGATTCGTGGTCATGAGCAAACACCTAAAAATGTGGAATGTGCAGAACAGTACTTCCTAAAAGGACAAGCTCACTGAACTGCGTTTATAACTATAGTTGTAACAAAGGATATTTTTAAGACTGCGTAAGGTTGAGTAGCACCTTTGTGTTTAAAAGGTGCAAAGGAAAGCTAAGAAACAGGCACCGATAGATGAGTGACAAAGAAAAGAGCATGGGAAAGTGGAACCCTGCTATCCCACCTCCCTACTGCATCCACCCCCATGTCCCAGGGAGGCCTTCTGCCTACTCAACTCACCACGACCAGCCCTTCAGATGTAATATACAGGCTAGTTCATCTGTGAGGGGAGAGACAGATTCGACAAAACCTCCCTGGAAGAGCCTCGAGAAAAGGGGCTGTCTGAGTGGGGCATCTGGAAGCCAAGGCGCCTGGGAGAGTTGCCTGAGACTCCAGTCTGCTGTCTCAGGGAGGATTCACCATCACTGGACTCCGGGTTTCCTTGTCTCCTTGGAGACGCTCAGTACATGCGTAGGTGTAAAAGTGGGCAGAGTGAAGATTTCATTTATATCATATAAGAAAAATAGTCCCCTTTGCAAGGTGCCTGCAGGAGCAAAAGCCTCTCCTCCTACTATATATGTTTCCTTAGCTATTTCACATGAAGGTTTTATGGCTTTTTAATGTAGAAAAGGGAACTGTTATATATTTTAAGTGCTATCATCAGAGTTCTCAGAGTAATAGACTGATCAGCAAAGAAGGGTTTGGTTGTCAGTTGGAAAGGCAGATAGAGGGACTGTAGATGACAGTGCAGAGAAAAATATGGTGGGAAAGAGGAGAAAGGTTACATCTATTTAACACTGAAATAAAGCAAGCAAAGAAAAACAAAGTAATGAAGACCCCCTATAACTTACCACATTTCACCAAATACTGGGAGAACGGGCACTCAGTTTTTAAACAGCCTAGTCTCAGAGAAGCTATAGTCAACTCTTTACTTCAGCAAAGTGTCTTTAAGAAAAACATTCACATAAAACTATTCTTTCCTCTTTTTCAGAGGGATTCTTGCTCTGTCGCCCAGGCTGGAGTGCAGTGGCATGATCTTGGCTCACTGCAACCCACTTTCTGAGTTCAAGCAATTCTCCTGCCTCAGCCTCCTGAGTAGCTGGGACTACAGGCACTTGCCACCATGCCTGGCTAGTTTTTGTATTTTTAGTAAAGACAGGGTTTCACCATGTTGGCCAGGCTGGTCTCCAACTCCTGACCTCAGGTGATCCACCCGTCCCGGCCTCCCAAAGTGCTAAGATTACAGGCATGAGCCACTACGCCTGGCCATCACAACACTATTCTTATATGAGCATGGTTTCATAAATGTACATAAGCAAAAGAAAGTACAGAACTAAAAGCTACGTTTTCAACAAATGCTTACTGAGCTGGTTCTACAGAATGATCATATATTTCAATGTAAGCGACTGGAATCCTCAGATTTATTTTTCTGGTTGGAAGGGGGTAAAAAAGTCATGTATAATATATTTTTTCACACCCCACACAGGATACATGAACTTAAATAACCGTATTGTAAACCCCAGCTTCTTCATAGCATTTCATACAGAGGTCCACTCAAGATGACAATCTAAGATAAAAGCATGGGGAAAGGGCTTGCAAATTTGTGTGAACCCAAGGGAAACTGTGGCTGACCTACTGAACAGAGAACACCCTAAGAAAGAGAAGCAAACTGGCTTCCAAATTTCAGCTCCCAAATGAATGAACACAGGTAAAATAACTTTAAATATTTGGGATGGGGAGATAACACTAGTGCAGAAAATAATTCATTTTGATATGAATTATCCCACAGTAATTCTCCAGCTTTATCCTGGGTATGTTAACAGAGTAGGAGCAAATTATTATCCATATCCTCCCCAAATTAAAATCCATTTAAAAATTGCCTTAGGTCTCAGCAGGAGTTTTAAAACCTAACTGAACAGAACTTAGAACATGCTTTGAAATCAACCACTAAAATATGTTTTCTGTTCTAATTTCCATGATATATAAATCACTGTGGTCTAGATTTTAAATGGTCACATGCAAGAAGAGGCAATAAATCCTTAGTGCAGGCATCCCCAAACTACGAGGCCATTTATCCGGCCCCCCGTCGCACTTCGGGAAGGGGGACCTCTTTCATTGGTGGTCAGTGAGAGGAGCACAGCATGTGGCAGCCCTCCAACGGTCTGAGGGACAGTGAACTGGCCCCTTGTGTAAAAAGTTTGGGGACACCTGCCTTAGTGCATAAGACTATGTATCTGGGCATTACAATACACAACTCTGGCATCTACCATCTGTAAAAAGT